GGTAGTGACGGTAGCTCACTCTTGTGCAACCTGATTTTCCTCCGCTCTCCCGTGTCCAGAACTGACCAGCTCGGTGATGCTCCTGATTTTTAGAAGGTGGAGAAGAGTAAAAAAGAAAGCAAGAAGAGTTTTTATTTCATTGCTCTTTGAATTTGTGCCCTGGGGCACTTAAAGCTCACAGTGTTAAATTTCTTTACGCTTATTTATAGTTAATTTCTAATTTAGCCTTCTGCTGTTGTCTGCCGGGGACACAAGGTAATGGTACGTGGCGATGTCTCCGGTGTGGCTGAGCCGCCGCCGATCCACCTGGGCCGTTACGCAAACCGGCTCGGCGCGGGGCTCCCTGGGAATGCCATTCCTCCTCCACCACAGCCATAAATGTTTCAAGCTGCCTAATTATATTTTATTAGAAAATGAGCCGGTTAAGAAATGAGCTAGCCTGAGTGATCTTCCTGGGAGAGCCGCGATGCTTTGTGACGGGACGACCCCGTGGACGCCCGCAGCATCCGTGCCGTGCCAACAGGACTGCAGTTACTGAGCTAAACTTCAGGAGCCCCGAGACCCTGAACTTAAATTTTTTAAAATAGACGTGGTTTTAAATGAAATATTACTGTAAATTATCTGTAAGCTTTCTAAAGCGCGACTACTTTTTGTCTCTCCCGCCCTGAGCCCATCCGCACCCTCCGCGCTCCCTGAGTGCCTTCGTTATTCCTCTGTGCGAACCTTAATCGGTTCCAGATCCTTCCGATGTGCTCGTTAAATCTTGGCTTTTCCCATCCGAGCGCCTGGGACGGGGCTGGGGACGGGCGCTCACGTCAGAGCAACGCGGCTGACGCTGGATGTCACCATTGTACAGCACAAACCTAGCTGGAGGGCTGCAGAGAAAAAAAACCTCAGTTCTTCTCTCCCAGGCGCTCTTTTTTTTTCTTTTTTTGCCTTTTCCTGAGAGTTATGATAGCATTCAAGCTTTGTGCCGCTTGGAATATCTAAGCAGGATGGGGGTAATCCTCCTGAACCCCGTTAAAACCAGTTCTGCACTGGTGTCGTCGCTGGGAACGCAGAGCCAGACTGAATTCCCCGACGGCAGTGGGATTACTGCGTGCAGGATGATGGGGTTTGGTTTATAAACTTTGTACGTGGATGGGAAAAGTTTTGTTCTTAGTTAAACTGCGTGCGTCCGCGAGTTACTTATTTTTTGCCTGGAATCTCTGGCCGCATGTTTTCTGAAATAATATAGGATTGGGGTGTAAAAACTCATTGAAATCTGCAGTGAAAGCAACGTGCGAATATCCCTGTCTCTTTTCCCAGCCATTAAAAATAATAATCAGGTGTCTGCATTTTTTATTATTTTTATTTTGAAGTGGTCCATAATGTTTAGTGCTTTAAGCTTGCAATGCCTGCTTGACTCCGGCACGTCCCTGAGGTTGAAATGGAATTAAATGGGATGGAATAATGGGATTATTCTCCATCCTTGTGTAACGAAACAAGCCCCTTTCTCCTCTCTTGTACAGAACAGAGAAACGCACGTATAGTGATGACTACCCTGCTACTCACCGAGCAAATAACGCAAGAAGACCGCGGCTCAGAGGGAAACTACGTGCTTTATGGATCCTCTTGCGCCCAAATCACCGAGGAAGCTGAATACGTGAAAAAGGTATGTTTGACGTTGTCGCCGCTCCGTTCCTTTCTTTGCTCCAAAAAAAAATGAGCAAAACTAATTCCGACCAAGTGCAACGCGCGTTTGGAAAACCGTTGGGTTTACCCATCGATCCTAGAAACGCGGTTTACTCCGCAGTAGTGACTTAATTATAGCACGAGCTCTCTTAGGTTGGGTTAAACCGCTTTAAACCTGGTGAGGTTTTCCCAGCCCTCGTTTAGGATTGTTGCAAGAGACACTTAAGTGCGTGTCCCCACCCAAAGTCGAAAAAAAAGGGAGATGTTCGCTGGGAGATGCGAGGAGAAGGACGCGGGAGCTTGACCGCGCTCAGCAGCGCGGTGGGAGGGAACGTCTGGGAGCTACGGTGGGATAAACGTGTCCACGGCGAGAAGTCCCAGCTTTGCAGGGCGTCTGGTGGTGGGATTGAGACGGGAAGATGGAAAAGAGGGTGAATGAAGGTGTGGTTGGAGCTGCTTTGCATACAAATGACTAAGCAGTTAGAATGAAGGATGGATATGTAATACCTTAAAAACAATAATAATGTGTGATATGATGCATAAAAAAACCCCCCCATGTACCTAAAGCTGCTGTTCAACCCGCTAGACAGTTTGAACATCGTGGTACGTACTGGTATACCTGCAAGTTTTTATTTGAAGCCCTTTGCTATATAGCATCAATGCTGAGCTGAGCTGGACAGGCTCGGTCCCTGGAAGAGATGAGGCAGCTCTGGAGCAGACAGCGAGCAGCCGTGTCTGAAGCAGAAGTGTTGGTCCAGGGCTCCTGGAGGACGAGGGTCCGGGGCTCCTGGAGGACGAAGGTCCGGGGCTCCTGGAGGACGAGGGTCCGGGGCGCCTGGCGGACGAGGGTCCGGGGGGACGGGCG